AAGTCCACATGGCTTCCGCCGCCCCTGCCTGGCCTACAGCTTCAAAATTGATGTGTCAACTTCTTTTGTAAATCCAATTCATTTAAAGCATCCAAATGGACCCCAAATTGAAGAATCTACCTACAAAATGAGCGCCAGCCTGTGTGTTAGTATGCACTTCTGAGGACTCGATGGTCGGGACGGTGTTTCTAACCGTCTGCGGTCCTGGCCACCTTCGGAAGCTTGCTCTTCTCCCATCATCTTCACACTTACTGCAGACTGCTTCTGATGCTGTGCCTCTTGCATGATTTTGCAACAAAGGAGAACTAACCTCCACTACTCATGTCAGAAAAATGTATAAAAGGAGGGTGCACGGAAACAGTGGGAAAAGGAGTGAAAATGAAGTTTAGGATATTGGGGAAAGGAGCCAGGGAGATGGGAAACGGGGATAAATAAATGAGAATCCAGGGCTGTGATGCGACAGCCTCACTGGTCTGCAACACGGACGAGGGATGACTGAGCACAGGAGCGCACCGTGTCAGGCTGCGCACACCTCCCCACACGCACACACAGGCACACAACTCGGCGGAAGACAGCGAGCGTGTCGGCCCTCACTCCTGGATCTGTACAGCAAGGACGTGCAGGGAACGGATGGGCCTCAGACCGGGATGACCAGAGCTGGAAGTGTGGAAATGCACTGGTCTCTGCTCGAGCTGGGGTGCCGGGTGTGAGGACGGGGCGAGGGCAGGCGCAGCGTGACCCGACCGAGCTGCTGTGCTCCTGAAGACGAGGCCAACCATGTGCACTTCACTCGCCTCCTCCTATCATGAGAAGTGACCATTTGGAGAAAGAAAATTACAGCCTGTGCTAAGTTTTTTAAAGATTAGGTTTCTTTCTGTTGACATGGCTGATAGCATGCGCATCGGAGGGGTCTGGGTGTGAAACCCACTGTACACTCGTCTCCTTTCAGTCCCTGGTCTGTGGAAAGGACGTAGACACCGGCTCAGAGCCTGGGATGCGCGGGGACTTGGTGTGTCACGTCTCCCAACTGCTTTGCTCCCCACCCCACCCCAGCTGGGTCTCAGCCTGCCCACCCCCAATCACACCAACCAGATTTGCTCATGAGAGACAAAAACAGAAAACTTATTTGTGTGCTTGGCCCTCTCTCCAATGGTAACTTCCTGTCTGAAAGGTTCACGCACACTCTGACAAAGCAGAGGCTGGAGAGCCACCCAAGTCCGCTGCTGCGGCAGAAAGTGTGGAGAGACTGGGGTCTGAGCCACGGTGCCAGGCAAGGAAGCGGTGAAGAATGGCCTGAGAGGCAGCTTCACACCGCTGAACAACAACAGGCTTCTCTAAAGTCACAGCCTCAGAGAGTGGGCTGGTAGCGGCTGTTTGCTTGATTATTTAGTGGTGGTGGTTGGGAGGGATGAGAAATGTATTCATCGAATCCAGATCAGTCCAAATACAAGGAGGCAGAACAATCAAGAAAAGACTCCCAAAAAGAAACTCCCTCACCCTAGGAGTCTGTGAGCCACAGGAAGGAAGCACAGAAACGGAACTGTACGGTGTCTGGTGAAAAAGGCACGAAAGGAAGCCAGAAGGATCATCTTCATGCTCCTCTGCCCTCCTCTGGGTCACGTGGTAGAGGTTCTGCAGCTCCCAGAGTTTGGGGAATCTTGAAAGCAGCGCAACAGAGATAACAGCCCTGGGTGAAAGCACCGGGCATCTGCAGACCGGCAGGGGGACACCTGGGATTTAGTCACCCTCCTGCCTGGGGTGATGTCTTGCGGGAAAGGCGCCAGCACTCGGAGCTCCTGCCCTTGGTGGCTCTGCAGGGTCTTGCATGGGAATTCTTGGCCGTGGGGACTACTGACCCACGGTCTACCTCCGGGGTAGTAGTATTCGGCTAGGGGAGGCAACGTGACAACAAGCGGCGAGGGGCTGTGTGGGTGGGAGCCCAGTCGGCTCCGAGCCTCCCCTCCACCCTGCGCTTTCACAGCTGAGCTTGGGACGCTCAGAGAGGGCTATCAGGGGTCGGGGCCCAGTTCAGGCCAGCTCACTGCTCGGGCTCTGGCCCCACTGGCATCCAGGCTGTGACCAGGGACACTCAGCAGGCACCTCAGCTGCTGACTACAGACCACAGCACAGCACACCGCCGGCCTGGCATCCCAGGGGAAAGCAGACCTGCTTTGTCCCAGAGCAGAAAGAGCTGTGGCCTACCCCGCAAAACCAGTTCCATGCTGAGGACCTTTGTGACACTTCTGCTGGATTCAGGCTCCCTGGAAGTCTGGGAATGAGCCCCAAACCTTGCTGTAACTAAGAGGCTTAACACCTTCCTAGGCCAGGTGTTCCCATCATCCAACCCAGCTAAGTGAGCAGAGCTTCTCGCTCTGGCTTTCCTTCTGTTCTACAAGAGGAGAGAAGTAACAGGCAAGCCAGCCGCCAGAGTGAGGCCCGATACCCCGGAAAAGTCTGTAATCTTTACCGGTAGGTCCTGATTACACACGTGTAGCAAGACTACCGAGTACTGGACGAGGACACGTGTGTGTAACCCTACACACCAAACAAAAGCTACCCTTTAAGTCATTTAAGGAAAAACATAGTTTTCTCAGTTTGCACTTGGGTCACTTCCGGTTTCAAAGTTGGTCAACAGAATCTTGTGCGGAAAAAAACAAATCTCATTTTAACCTTCAAATGACCTTCTCAAACTGGTTGATGTGTATTCACACTTGGATTCCAGTGACTTCTGGGGATTTTAAAAACACCTTCAGAGACGGATCCTGAATTCTGTGAGCAATTCCAAAGGATGCCTCAGTTGCCTTCACCGTGGGGCACAGCGCAGTCCTCTGGTACCCTGAGGACCGGCCGTGGAACCAGGCCTGGCTGTGGCGGGGCTCGGTGCCTCAGCTTTCACAGTGCCCTGGCTGCCCTGGCACCAGGAGCCAGGGAGAACCGCACTGGGGCGATGGGAGTGGGCATCAGAACTCACACTGCCCAGGGCCACGCAGGGAAAGTTCCCAAATTGAGAAGTCCAGGGAGCAAGAAAGATGGTGCAGGACCACAGGGGACTCCCCTGTTGCGCACACACCAGGCCCAGCATCATACTGAGAGCTGGATTCCAGAAAGTAATCACTGATCCCTAAATGCGGGCAAAAACATTAAAATCTGAACCCTAAGTACAAAGGCGAAGGGTCTCAAGGCTGTGCCCTGCGGCCACACAAACCGAGATATCATGTGACACTGAGTGGACCCCCACCTGCAGCTGACAGAGTCTGTGCAGCAGGGACCTGGAAACACTTTCTGCGGTAGGGATGCCTTTCCCTCTTGCTTTGCTGAAAACACTTGCTTCAGCCCCTATGCCATTTTGATTCTTGCAGTCTGTTTATTATAAAATCAGTAATGTTTTAAAGAAATGCCTTAGGATCTGCAGATTTTTAAAAAATCCAATCAGCCTCCCTAACGCAGTGGATTTAATTTTTTTGGTTTGTCTTTAAAAGCCCTTCACAAGTTTGGAGAAAATTATTTGGAGCTATTTTTTATTACTTATTGATTCACCCAGACTTCATACAATTGCAACAACCAAGTAATAGTCCCGAAAACACACACTAAACAAGTATCAGAAGGTGTCGCCAGGCTGCGTGTCAGGGCACATGTGAGCTTAGACCTGTCCACCCAGAACAACACGCAGGCACCCGTGTGCACACACACCCAGCCAGGAAGTGAGTTCCCACTTGCAGCAAGCACAGGACACACCCACCCGCCCACATGCTCACTATCACAGGTAGCGTGGTGACAAACGCTACAGGCACGACACTGAGCACGTGCTATAGCGCCAACCTGATGCTGGGGCCCAGGGGCCCTTCTCTTCCCCAAGGTGCCACCGCCCGTCCCTGGCCACACTGCCATGTGGCTGGTGTGCCCTCGCCTCCCTCCCCGGGGCCCAGGACCATCCCCATGTGGTCCCCTGGTGTGATCCTTAGTGCGGCAGTGACACTTGTAACTGTCCGTCCGTCTGTCTGAGCCTCCAGCGCTGCCCCGGAGAGGACCCCTACTGGCTCGGCTGGTGGTCATAGCGCTTGGCCTCACCACGAGCCTGGGGACAGCGGATGGAGAGGGGAGCTGACCTCCGAGAGCACAAGGGCCTCAGAGACAAACTGTCCCTGCGGTTCTGTGTGGGACTGGCTCTCGCAGCCGAGGTGGGGCCGTCCCTGAGCCCCTGGACTCGCTCAGGGCACATCACACTCTGCCCGCTGGCCACCTGGGCCTAAAGCCGACTTCATCCGCCCTGTTTCAGGCTCCAGGGAAAGGGATGGACACTGAGCAACTCATCTTCTGGAGCTGTGCCTGAGGCCCTGACCAGACGGGCTCGTGCCCATCTTCTTGGGGTGCAGAGACAGAGTCGCCCTACACTGCCAGCTGGGGCACAACTGAAGCAGAGCACAGCTCTCCAGTGCCGACAAGGAGAGGAAATGAGGCTGAGGACCCGGGAAGGGGCGGGCTGGGACCGAGGGTGTGCATCTGCAAGTCTGCTGTCTGTTCCCCACCCCGGCTATGTACCCCGACAGACGTTACCCCTGCCCTGAACACTCCGGCACCTGGAGGCACAGAAGAAGCGCGAAAGGCCCACAATGGCTGCTCCTCATCAGGAAACCCAGAGCCGGGTGGTCCTGCTCCCTGCACCCTTCCCGCCAGCCCAGGCCTGGGGCTGTGGGGTCCCCGTCCCCAAAGAAGCTGGCACTGAAGAGGCTGCATGGAGACGCCCAAGAGGGTGCTCGGGGAACCCCGCAGAGCAGGGGCAGGAGGGCTCCTGACCCGGGTCCCGCATCGCAAGTTCTAAGCTGCGGCTGTGCCCAAGGGTGTGGGTTCGCTCCCCTTCTCCCACTCCCTCACCCCTGCACAGGCCCGTGCGGGACTTCTAGGACAACAGTGGGCCCGAGGTACAGGAAGCTACCTCCGCGGGCCTGGGCAGAGCCGTCCTGCGGGGAGCGGGTGCCCAACGGAGGCACCTTCTCACTCACCTTGGCCTCCTCGTTCACGTCCCAGGTGAAGGAAACGGCATTGTACGCAATCTCCTCAATGTTCCCGATCGTGTTGAAGCTCTCCTTGTAATCAGCTGCAACGTTCAGAAAGAAGAGGGATTTAAAGGACTGAGAGGCATTTTGTGACAAGTACTTTCCCCCGGGCAGACGTAAACTGTCTGATTTTCTAGCTGTCAGGAGGGAAGCACCAAGCACCAGTGCTTACGGATTCTCTTGGACCGCTAATTCCAGAAGAACACAAGCACTTTTCCTCTCAAGCAGGAAAGCTAAGTGAAACAATGTCCTTTTCCGATTAGTTGTTTCTGACCAGATTTACCAAATTATTAACATTTATCCCTCTGAGTCCTTCCCACTCTTTCCTGCCACGTAATTTGCTAGGCCAGAGCGCTCGGCAGGATTCCTCCCTCCCTTCCTCCTCTCCCTCTCTCTCTACCTCCCCACACCAGGGAGGATCACCAGGACTTCAGTAAAGAAACTCCAGGAGACGACAAGATGAAACGCATTTCCTATGATACTCACACTCGCTCAGCCCTGCCTGTACCACTGAGCTACACTCCCGACCCAAGGGAAGCCACTTAAGTTTTCTTTTGGACCCAAGTACACAGAGCCGAGTTGCTCTGGCGTGGTTCGCTATCAACGCCTGACTTCTCACAGCCTCTCGCTGTGCTCCTTGCATGACGTGTGCCTGTCCTTCTTGTCCCCTTCGGACTCCCAACAGGGCAGTGCGCTCCGTGTGTGTTCTTGCAGAACATACTGGGTTGATTTGCTTGTCTATGCAGCTGTTTATAAATTGTGTGGTGCTATGGCTGAAGCCACTGGATTCAGCAAATACTTGAGTTACACTTATCCTAAAAACAAAACCACTGGCTGCTCATCAAAACTCAAGTTTAACTGGACACTGTGCATTTTACCTGGCAGCCTTCGTGCACGCTTTCCAGACCCAACCGTGCAGCTGGTTAACAGCCCATTTCTGTCCCTGCATGGAAGGGTACAGTGACTGCTGCCACCCTATTTATGGAACGCTCCTCCCCAGAGCTGCACCACTGCCATAAAAGCCTCACACTCCTGGGAGCTGACCCCGATAAATGTGCCCTCAGAGATCAAAGTGGGTGCCCAGTCCAGCCTCGGCTTCATGGCTCCACCCTTGAGCCAGTCTGGGGGTGCACGGCAGCACCCGCCTTACATCTGAGTCTCTTCCTCACTGGACAGTGCAGGCAGCACCTGCTGGCTCCTTATGTCCACTCGTCCTTGTCCCTGTGCCTCTCCTAGGGAGATCCTAAAGCCCAACTGTGTACCCTCACACTTGAAAGACAGCGCCCCACTTTCATAGAGAAGCGTGGGTGTTCCCCAAAGGAAAGCCTGAGGCCACAGACAGAAAAAATCCACTAAAGCAGCCACAATCCACGCCTGCACAAAGCACCACCTTGCACATACCTTTGTGCACTTTACTTCTCCTATTTTTTTTCTCTGTCTGCCTCTCTCCAAAAGATGTAAATGCTCTTACACTACACTGCAGCAACTGCTTTTTAATTTGCTCTTCAGTGTTGCTGTTATGTAGCACACCATCAGCATCCTCCCACGCCAAGAAGCCTGAACTACTATGGGGTCCAAATACAGTTGTCAGGTGCAGTTAGATTACAAATCACAGCTTTACTTTGTTCTTGTCAGTCGTTCAGATAATGTTCAATAATGTACTGTTGCAAATACCATTTCATTTAATTATCTTTACAGTCAAAATGTTACACACCTAGTTTTATTGCATTCAGGGGTTTTATTGTTCTCAGGGGTTGGAGTGTGTTGGATGTGGCTCCAAGGGAGAGCCAGGGTTAGGCCCTGGGTTCGAAGCCAAGCACCAGAAAAGAGAAGAAAAGACAAGAGGAGGGGAGGGGAGAAAAAAGGATTTATTCTCAGAAGTGACAATAGTAAGTCAAAGGGAAACATTTTTAAGGCTATCTGCTTTTGTCAAATTGCTCATGAAAAGGTTTGAACAATGTCCTTTTTTTTTTTTTCTTCAAACTGTGTTTTTCCAAACCCACATGCCAAAGTCTGGTACCTTATTGCTTTAATTCACAATTCCTTGACTGCTAGAGAGCTTAAGCAGGCTTTCATTTGGCTTGTGGCCGCATTTCATCTTAATTCAGTTTGTTATACAATCTGTTTGTATATTAGTACAGTTTCTAATTCTATCCTTTGCCCATTTTTCTCTTGGACTATTTAATTTTATTTTGTTTTACTACTTCATAGTTTATTTTTAAATAACCATTTAAATTGCTTAGTAGTAGGAAAAATAAAATAAAATGAAAATATCAAACTACCCTCTCCCCCAAAAAACCTTAGTTTCAAAATGTTTGCAGAAGCATAAGATTTTTGAGCTCTTACTTGGGTTTCATTATATTCTATTTTGGTTACTTAAAACCCAATGAAGCAGGATAATCAGCACCCACTTTCACCGCCTTCTCTCCTCTTTCGGGCTGGCTTATGCTATATTAGAACCGAATACCCAGTGCATTGCTTCTGTTCAATTTTTCTTACTGATTTAAAATAAATACTTAAAGAGAAGAGATAAAAAAAAAGAATTTTACATCCTACAAATTTAGTATAAGGTGTTATAATTATATTGGGGATAATTTAAAATGTACATCTGTGCTTTCAGCCACCCAAGGTTTTAAAATTTTGAGAAAAACCACAGGATTTAAAGAAACTAAATTCCTTGACTCTTCACCACTGTTTTAAAAGAAAACTTTACAACTTTAAGTTTTAAAACAGCAATTACTTACTATAAATAAGAGAGCAAACATCATACCTAGAATTTAAGATAACCAAGTTCAATGGGTCACACACTTGCTCTAGGTCTTATGAGTTACTTTGTCATGAGGCTTCATTGCTTTTCCACCTAAACAACGTTTCCCCTAAACCAGGCACGGTGGTGTGCGCCCACAGTTCCAGCACTTGGGAGGCCGTGGCAGGCACATCATGGCAAGTTCAAGGCCAGCCTCTACTACATAGCGAGATCCCGAAGTCAAAAGAAAAAACGTATACTGCAAACATGTATTAATAAAAATATTTTTTTAAAAAATCTCTCCCCTGATTGCAAAATTGATTATGCCCAAAGCAGTCTGTACACAGTGCAGGCTGTAAAGAGTTAACGCCACAACAGGCTTGTTTATGGAAGTGAGTCTGACCACAGCCTACTTGCAGAGGTCAGAGTAACTCACACCCAAATTCTGTTCCCACAATTAAAATTTTCTTAACTAGAAGGACAATGTTCTAATTACAACTATATTTTGTGTATTCTGTTCCTATGTTGAGAATGCTTTGTCTTTTCCTTTTACATACTTTGCCTCCATTAGTTTCCATAGAAACCACATGATTGCACACCCTGGCACACAGTTCACCTTTACCCAAATTAATGACCAATAAAAATCAGTAGCTTGGATGGATCAGCACCCTTTGCCAAAGTAGCACTGGCCATCCTGGCTCCCTACTTTCTGTCTCTCTTAGTTCTGTTTCAGTTATTTTCCTCAGGCTTGCATTGTACACTGAGCAGGAGACTGGAGCCTACTGTAGAGGTTTCTGGTAATGTTTCAAGGTTTTACAGTTCTCCCCTAAAAATCTTGTCAGCTGAGTAAAAGGAAAAGGTTATTTCAAAATCAGTTTCAACATAAACCAAATAAAACACTCTTTGAGGGCTGGGGATGTAGCTCAATGATAGAGCACTTGTTGGCACAGTAAGGCCTTCATTTCAATCCCCAGCACTGCAGGAGACAAAATCACCTTTCTTGGGCCCCTCAATCTTGTACAGATTTCCCCTTTCTTACTCACCAGCAAATATCGTGGACACTTTCTGAGTGCCCACTACACAAGGGACAAATGAGAAACAGCAGAGACTAAGACGAGATCCCTAATCTTTTAGCTCTTTTAGTTCAGAAGAGACAGAAGATAAAGAAATAAGACAATTACCCTTAATCTGGTTTTTTTAATGCCCAGAACAATAGGACCAATGATACTATTTTCACGGATTTTATTTAGCTCATTTATTTCCTCTATAATATGCAAAGTATTTTATTTATTTGTTTACTATTTTTTTTAACCAGCATTTCTCATTAGCCGTTTACAAGGCAAAGAGCTGATCTTAAAAGCAGCAGCTTTCTCAAGCTTAACATCATACACGTAAGATACATCCCATTCACTAGTGGAATGCATGAATGAATGTGTCCACAGGCATCCTAAACAAAAACTATAACTAAGAGATTCATGTCATGCCCTGCTCTGGAGCCTTACACAATACAGAAAATGTCTGTTCCCCTCTCCCCTTTCTCTTCAGTCTCCACAGATGCAGGATAGCTCCACTGTACTGTGTGATGTTGCTTCATCTATATGTATTACTTGTCCAACTAATAAAAAGCGAAGACCTGCATCTCCTGTCCTCTGATAAGGGCGTCTGCTCAAGGGTTTATGGCCCATGGGTAGGAAAAGAAACGAAGCAACCTAGTGCCCACATTTCCTTAATGTATTTTCTCGAGACAGTTTCTCCAGTCTAAATTTTGAAAATGCGGACAGTGGTAGGTAAACAATACAAAGTATTGCTAACATATTCATTTCCTAGACCTACTGTGGTGGCTTAAAGCAACAGAAATTAATTTTATCAGAGTAGTAGAGACCAGAAGTCTAAGGCGAAGGAGTTGACAGTACTGGCTCCTTCCACAGGGAGGAGGGATGAGGGTTCCAGCCTTTCTCTTGGTTTCTGGTGGCTGCCAGTGATCCTGAACACTTCCTTAATACTTCCTGATGCTTCCTGACCTGCATCCGGGGTACTCAGCCTCCATCTGTTTTAGCAAGGCCTTCTCCTCACAGCTGTGTGATTCTCCTTCTCTTCTGAGGACCAATCATTGAGTTTGGGATGCTCTCATCATAAGGTCCTTCACCAAAGTTCCTCTGCAAAAACCTTTTCCCAGAATAAGGTCCTATGTACAAGTGCTGGGAATTATAGCCAGATATGTCACTTGTGGGGGTCACCATTTGGTGTCCTGCATTTGTGATCCCCTCCTGTGAATGAAAAGCATGCAGCTGGAGT